TGCCTCATGAGCTTTGAAGTGGGCAGCTGTTTTTTTTTACTAGAGTGAGGTAAAAATACTTGCATGGGCCGCACAAGGCAGACCAGCTTGTTTGGAGTTTAGGTAGTTTGTGCTGATGACCTCTGAGCTGGAAGTAGATGGTTCTGTTCTAAACCAGGCAGTTTCAGCCCAGAGGAAGGGGAGGTCTGTGTATTTACAGGCCGGGTAACTCCTCCCACAACTATGTATATATATATATATGTGTGTGTGTGTGTGTGTGTGTGTGTGTGTGTGTGATCAAGCACTCTTTATTTTCAATTTCATTTCTTTGATTTTATTTCTCTATCTTAGCAAATAAAGCCTGTATTGCAAAAAAAGTAATGCCTAAATAATAGTAATGCTGAAGAATGCCATAATATTATAAAGCACTGCGGAATAAATTGGCGCTATATTAATGCTAATAATAATAATAATAATAGAAAGTCGCTATACCCACTCACTACTTAGAGAAAGGTACATTTATGTTGAAAACCCTATGCCTTAGAACATTTATGTGAGCCAGCGAACGCTTGATAACACTATTAATGCAGGTAGCAGACCTGTTTCTAGGAGGGAAGGGTCAATATTTGAGACTGCTAAACTAACCTCCTGCATCATTGTTGTCCAAAGCTGGACAGACTCATACAGAAGTGAACTTCCAAATTAACTGTGCAATAGACAAGGAATAGCCAAGTTTCTTGCAAGGCCACTCAAAATGATTTTACAGAAACAAAGGAGATGGCACTCATACTCTTTGCACTAAAGTTATTACAATTTGCTCTAGTTGTTTTTGTGCTTAGACTGCATACAACAGAACAACTCTGTGCTAGTAGAAAGCTAGAACTGTTTTCTTTAACTTCTACACAGATGTACTCAATAAATGTGAGTTGTGTAAGCATATACCTTTTTATAGCTGTATCTTTACTAAAATATTACACCTCGATATAATAACAAAGTGTTTAATCAGGAAAAGTACATTCAGTTTACTCTGATTTCCAAGTATGTTACTATTCGGAATTTAACCCCCTAAGGACACAGCTTCAGAAGCTTGTCTTACGCTTAATGACACAAGCAATTTTTGCATTTTCTTGCTGTATGTGTTCAACTGCAATTTCCATCTCTCTCGTTTATTGCACCGACACATATTATATACTGTTTTTTAAAGGACAGAAAGGGCTTTAATTTGATGTAACATATATATATATATATATATACTTATTTATTATTAAAAAAAATACAGAAAAATGCAAAAAAAATAAAGATTTTGTGTTTTTTTGTACAGTTTTTGCAATAATAATGTATGCCTAATTAGTGCAGGTTAAAGAAAGTAATTAAAAATAAATTCATTTAGTTGTTCTGATTTACAGAATATATAATGTGTCTGGGATTTTAATTTTTTTTTTGGTAGTTACAGGTCACAAAGCACAAGGAGTAAAATAAACTTTTAATGTGGAGCGATTTTAGAATTCGGTATGTTTGTCTTGTAAGCTTAATAGCCATAAAAGAAAACAAAATTGCCACACAAAAGTATATATTTATATAAAGTAGACATCACAGGCTATTGTCCTAAGGTTGTTTTGACACTTTCTGTGTAGCCATTTCACGGCCAATCTCTGCTAAATATTGGAGTAAAATTTTGTCTTTTGGGTGTTTTTGGCACACAAACTTATAACAAAGAACTTCTCATGTGTATTTTGTAAAGTTGGTGTGTGCTATTCCTGTACAAAGTTTTATTTTGTGTTCAGTTACTTCTGCTGAGTACAACGATACCCCCATTATTATTATTTGGCACTATTTCGTAAATTAATTAATTAAATAAATTGAACCCCTGAGGGTTAAAAAATAAATAAAAGTTCATCCTCAGGGGTTAAAAGAAATTAGATTACAGTATAATACTGTGATCTGTATTTTGATCACTGTACGCAGTGATCAACTGGCAGGGAAGGGGTTAATTTTTATTTAGACTGGGTAAAGGGGGGTGGTATTATTTTTTTTACTTAAACGTTACTAAAACATTTTTAAAAAATGTTTTTTAACTTTTTAAAGCTTATTTTAAAACTTTTTTTAACGTTAACCCCTAGTTAGCCTAACACCAAATTCCCCAATTCCCCACTAACTTCCACCAGCTAGCTAAATATATAATTTTTAAATATTAAAATTAATTAATAATATAAATTTAACCCCTGAGGGTTAAAAAAAAATCTGATGACATTAAAATGTATACCCTGCCAATTGATCACTGTAATCAGTGATCAATTGGCAGGGAAGGGGTTAATTTTATTAAAGCGGGGAAAGGGGGGGGGATTTAACTTTATTTTTATTTTTTTTATACAGGGAGAAGATCAGCAGCACTGATCCGTCTCCCTGCACTTCACACAGAAACTGGAAGTGCAGGGAGGCAAGAGGTAAGTATATACAGCACATGTGCTCGCTCTGATAGCCTATCAGGGCGAGCATTGCTGCAGGGGCAGCCCGATCGGGTGCTCCCAGTCTGTCCCCCTAATACAGAGGCAGACCGGAGCACCGTTAACCTCGCGGTCGCCGCGATCGTGGCCCACTGGGGTTAACTTTAGTAAATTACAGAAATGTTTCATCAACGGTCCTTAACTGAAGGACAAGGTTGATGGAAAATTTCCGTCTGCGGTCGGGAAGGGGTTAATGGAACTCATTTTATCTACCTTGGAAGGATATAGGGCGGAATCAACCCAGCTGGGAACTGAACCTGTTACCCCAAGGGTTAACCAATGATGATACGTCAGCCTACTGAGCTATCTCACCAGCCTTATGATATATTCCATTTCTGCTTTAAAATGTTTTAAAGGAACAGATACATTAAAATCCACTGATGTCAGAGATTCACTGACAAACTACCATTATGTAAAATGCACAGCATTCCTAAACACTTTCTTTATTGGACTGTTAATAGCTTAAAAAGCACTGCTGGAGCCTCCTTTATGTGATTAAAGGTCAATTTACGGAGCAGAAGATAAAAACTTCTAAAGTAAGTTAACATCTGTTTGAAAATAACACCTTTTTTTCATTCAGGCTATGTCAGTCACAGCCAGGGGAGGTGTGGCTAGGTCTGCATGGACAGAAACAAAGGTTATTTAACTACTAAATGGCAGAAAATTGAGCATCTCTCTCTTGTGGGTAGTTTAAATCCACTCCCTTGTGCTATGACCCAATGATGGCCCCTGAATAGCATGGCCAATATCATGCCTCTACTCATCGGTAGCTGACCTCTGTTACCGAAAGGCAACTCATTGAGGGGGTCCTTAAAGTTCCCTATTAAAGGAGACTAGGCATGGGCAAAATATGCAGAAACAAAACAGATTTCAAATGTGTCTTTTTTCAAATGTTTATTTGCTCACCAGAAATCTTATCCAGGCAGCCACCAATCAGGGGTAGGGGCCATAGGCGTGCGCACGGGGTGTGCCGGGTGTGCCTGGGCACACCCTAATCCCCGTGGCACGCCTATGGTTTGAGTCCTGCAGGAACAGCGTTCCTGCACTTTTTTTGAGCAGGAACACTGTTCCTGCAGGCACTCAGCGCCCCCTGTCTCACCTCTTGCCCCTGTCATGGGGGGGCAAGAGGTGATGGATCCCCCCCTCTCTGCAGCTCAGCCGCGGCGAGGGAGCTGTCTGCTCTCTGCTCCCTCTCGCCGCGCGCTGATGCCGGGAGCCGGAATATGACGTCATATTCCGGCTCCCAGCTACAGCAGACAGCCCGCGCGGCGAGAGGGAGCAGACAGCTCCCTCGCCGCGGCTGAGCTGCAGAGAGGCGCCCGCCCCACTGGACCCCAGGGAAAAGTCCACGCCAGCACTCCAGGTAGGAGGCTGGGTGGACATTTTTTAAAATTAAAATATAATAATTTGTTCTTGTGTGTGTCTGTGTGTGTGAGTGTGTCAGTGAGTGTGAGTGTGTGTCTGTGAATGTGTGTGTCTGTGAGTGTATGTGTGTGTCTGTGAGTGTGTGTGTGTGTCTGAGTGTCTGTGTGTGTGAGTGTGTCAGTGAGTGTGTGTGTCTGTGAGTGTATGTGTGTGTCTGTGTGAGTGTGTGTGTGTCTGTGAATGTGTGTGTGTGTGTCTGTGAGTGTATGTATGTGTGAGTGTGTCAGTGAGTGTGTGTGTGTGTGAGTGTGTGTCTGTGATTGTGTGTGTGTCTGTGTGAGTGTGTGTCTGTGAATGTGTGTGTCTGTGAGTGTATGTATATGTGTGTTTGTCTGAATGTGTCTGTGAGTGTGTGTGTGTACGCATATATATATATATATATAAATATATATATATATATATATATATACACACACACACACACACACACACACACACAGAGCCGGCGCTATCTGAGTGCCGGCTCTGCTCTAAGCCTCCATGGGCCGGCGGGGAGACCAAAGATCTACCTCACCGGCCCACAGCAGCATGGAGGGAGGCAGGAGAGGACCCAGGGAGCTCTAGACAGAAGCTCCGCCAGGTTCCTCTCGCGATATCTGAGCGTTGCTGCGGCAATGCTCAGATCTCACGAGAGTTAACTCTAGCCCCGCAGGCTAGAGTTCACTCTCCACTGGACCACCAGGGATGGCACATGGCAGCAAGGATTTACTAATCTGCCAAATCCCTCCATACATACAGCACACACACATACAGCACCTACACACATACAGCTTACACACACACAGTACACTAACCGCACCCTCACAAACACACACAGCACCGTTAAAAAAAACACAACACCCTCACACACAGCACACTAACAGCACCCTCACAAACACACACACACACAAACAGCACCCTCACAAATACACGACACTCACACAAACAGCACCCTCACAGGACAAACATACACACACAAACACCCTCACACACAAACAGCACAGTCACAAACACACACACACACACACAAACACCCTCACATCACACTAACAGCACCCTCACCCACACATCACACTAAGAGCACACAGCACACTAACAGCACACACAGCAGTGTGTGTGTGTGTGTGTGTGTGTATATATCTATATATATATATATATATAGATACATACACACACACACACACACACAAGCGCGGCGTGTGTTTGTGCTTTAGGGTGCACACCCTAATGCAATAGGCTGCGCACGCCTATGGTAGGGGCCTTGTAGGACTAAAACAATTCATTTTCCCCATAATTTTATAGTTTATAAATCTCAGTGATCCTAAACTACTGCAAGTATTTTTTTCCACAAAAAAACTGGTGGGGTGCTGCCCCAAATGTCATTATGAATGAGCCTCCACTGATCCTAAGTTAAGCTAGGCCCAAATAAATTACTGCGTGTTGTCAATTTTCTTCAAAGTCTTCTAACATTACCAAACATTTTACTACGTTATGGATCTTGTCCATGTTAGAAGAACTGTTTGCCCAGTTGCTAGCAGTCTTCATCATTAAAAACACTTCTAAATTGATGTTGCTTAAAAGACTCTCAGTACTGTCATCCTTTACCCTTTTGCGTTCAGTGTAAACATATTTGTTTCCTAGCTACCTATCTGTTCTTCATCCTCTTTTGTAAATATCACAGGTAAACTCTGATCACTGAGCAACAAGATTCTTCTAAGGTTTTTAATCCCCCTCAGTGTTACAATTTGACTCTGCAGAACTTCAATCTGAGCTTTCAGAAGCCACTTGCTCACACCTGTCACAAGGATATGGACCATGGAACAGCTGTTTCAAGCATGAATACATATGACAAACTGTTCACTGAGTCAGATTTCCAAAATTGCCGGTATGCATTATGCAAACCAAAAAATATGACTGTGAAATTTTTTTAAAGCAGTTGTTTTATCTGTTTAATACATAAATGTAATAAGTTCCACTAACCTTGTTTTGCTTTTACTTTCCTATAACTAATAAGGCCACTTAAATTACTAGGGTCAATTAGACACAATTTGCATCTGAACATTAACATAAAAATGTTTACTACCAGAAACAAAAAAAATAACCAATACATTAATTTGACAGCTACATCAAAATATTGTAATTATATTAATATTGCAATTAGATTTAGAAACTTGTTGTACATAATTAAGCACATTGAACTGCTAGAGATTAAAAAAAAAATGTGAGAAAACATTTTTATTAAAAAATGCTTTGTTATACTTTTAAAACACAATCAGGGTGGAGCTCCGCTTCACCTCGACGAATATACACAATTTACAACGACAATTTCACCCGGAGAGAATCCTCCACAATCCCACCCCACCAGAGGCAACATGGGGCGCAAGCACCGCAAATTTCAAGCACCTGAAATCTCCACGCAAAGAGACATATGGCACTCGTTTGAGCGGCCTGCCCCCGCCAGCACCGCCGAAAATGGCGCCCGTGGAAGGCCGCACAGCAGACTCGTTGGAAGACTCCCAAGAAGAGGCGGAGACATCACTCATCTCTCCAAGACGGGGCGACCTGCACCGGGAAGCTGAATCTGACGAAGATTCGTCCCCAGCAACCAAGGGGGACATTAAACACATGCTCCCGCCAAATTTGGAAGTCGGACCTCCGAGAGATACGACAGGAAATGGGGGCAATACAGAACAAGCTCCAAGTGGTGGAGGAGAAAGGCAACGTCCGGAAAGCCCGGCTGCAAGCCACTGAACATACCTAGGACGGCTTAACCCAGCAGGTACAAAGACTACAGCGCTCTGTGGCGATCCTGGAGGCTAGACATAGACGCCGCAATATATACGCCTGAAAGGGATACCTGAGGCCGTTAAAGGGGACGCACTCTTACCATACATCCAAAAGCTACTTACATCTATTGGCTTGCAGGGACAAGCAGACCCCACAATGATTACTGCGGCTTTCAGGGTCAGGAAGGCTCTGTCGGCGCCAGAGACAGCCCCTCCCTACAGACACAGCCGTACGAATGGCCATCATGACACACTCCAGAGAGATGGAACGCGTGGAATTTGAGGGAGCTACTATCCTGTTCTTCAGTGATATCCCTTTTGCTGCACTACTAGAAAAAAGAAAACTGTCCCCAATGGCCAAAAAACTGAGAGACAATTCGGTGAGGTACCGCTGGGTAGCTGATGGTGTCCCACGGTGGCCAAATCCTCACACTTACCTCAGATGAGGATCCAGAGAAACTAAACTGCTGCATGGCATGGGATAACTCACCGGCAAAGATGAGCACAAGCAACTACAAAGGAGAAGAGAGGGGAGCAGGGGAAGACAAATTGCGAACACACCTCAGGATTAACAGCCTGGGAGTTATGAACATCGGAACGCCGGGAGAGCAGCGTATACCCGAGCCACTAACATAGAACCCAATCCCTGGGACTGCCCTGACTTCTGATCCCATGTCACCACCCTGATCCCCAACCCACACACAAGCTCACCTAGCACCAGCACTGTACCACAGACTTGCCAATACCCCTGGTACACGCTAGAGGGCAGCACCACCTGGACTAAGAGTCACTGGAGTATGCACAGAGTGCACAACCTGCAACGCCCCATACCCAATATATTGTTATGACATGCAATCTTTCCTAACATTAATACTCTGATGTGAATGTTTGCCTAAGTGCCTAAAATTCAATAAAATACAAATTATAAAAAAATCAGACAGTAAGAATTTTTTTATAACATAAAGGATATTTCAAAAAAGAATAACATTCAACGTATATTGCAAAACAGATTGTTTATTCAACATTAAATACAAAAAACAAATGGACTCTACACACAAGTATTACATTTCAAAGTGATTTTGAATTTATAAAAAATATTACTTCGTAGAAAAGATACCACAAAAGGTATTTACATCCAGTTTCAACAGAAAAAAGTTTAAAGTAATGCTTCATCAAAAAGTCATTCTGTGTCATTCAAAAATGTCAAGATTAAACAGCGGTTATTGGTGCATGGGGTGTTTCTTTAACACCTTCACACAATATAAAAAAATGGGCAAGTAATAATAATAATAATAATAAGAGATAACTCCAACCAGCAATTTTCACCTGCTCCATACAGCTGGCATTTACCTATGTTTACCCTTTGGTTTATTTGAAGAGGGGTTTCTCTGTTCCTGTACACCTAGTGATGGTTGTGATTTAAGTTAGTTAAGAGATATACCTTTGGCGCTTTTGTATTTTGAGAGTGTATTTTATTGATCTCCATGTATGGTTTTGCAACAAGATATGCTGTTGTAATAAAATGTGCACTTTTGAAATATCTATTTATATATTTTTTCATGTAATTTTAATAAACGTGTTTGAGAACTATACAAAAAAAAAAGGAACCCAGAAAGTGCAGAAAGTGCTTACAAGTGTTGTGGCAAGCACAATTAAGTTGGCATAAAACATAACAAAACATCAACCCGAAAACATGGATTTGGAGAATACTTTACGCACCAGAGTAAGCTATTTTTAAAATGTTATTCTCATTTTTCTCTCGTTTTGTGTAAACGTTTTGATATAGTCACATCATTACCCTGGCTAGTGGTTTTGTTATCATTACTATTCTAATAAAAGTTATCAGGGTTCTTCACTAAATTGATAATTCAAAGTGAATACAGATGGATTTAAAAATTAAGGACAAAATAGCCAAAATGAAAGCATAATTGACTTCAAGAATTTTTTCAGTTTGGCTATTTTAAAGTTAAATTAGAAAATTATCTTTGGGAACCATGTTTGCGCTGACTTTTATTGTATTCATTTAATACCTACCAAATTGTATTTTAAAGATGTTTCTCTTTGGACTCCAATCCCATTGTCCCTTTCTTAACATTCATTATTTGTGGTAAGAAAATAAATACAGTAGGTTCCGCAGAAAATAGACATCATATTTAGAGATACAGTCAATATACTTGTACATTTGCATAAAAGAAACTGCAAAAGTGGTAGAGAGTTTTAACTATAAACAAAAATATTTACTCCAGAAAGTAAAATTAGTGTGTTGTGATTAGAATTACAAGCACTTAGAATTCTAAAAGTGAAATAGCAACTCAAAATACTCAAATATGGGGATACCCCTATACCCACAAACAGATAAAATACAAATGTGATAAATGATGAGTGCTGAAAAAATTGCAAGTGCATTTATATTTACCCTTAATAAAATGGTATGTCACGAGTAAGAACAAATATATAGTGTAGATGGTAATACATACAGTAATTCATAAGATCCACTCAGATGGACCAGAGCCTGTAACTACTCGCTCTGTAATCAATGCCTTTATGGTAGCATACCACCATCCTTCGAGTGGGTCTCCAAGTATGGGTATATGGAAAGAAAAGAAAGAACTCCAATGGTACAGTATGTATTATACTTCCATATATTGTCAGGATTACTGTTTGATCCAGCACGTAGAACTGTACAGCACGGATGACAAATAAGTAACGTATTACCGGTCCTTAGAATGTCCGGATTTAACGTACAAAGAATAGTCAAAAATACTAGCCGAGGTCAGGGAACACAGAAAGGGACACAGCGATGAGGAAAGCCAGGAGTCAGGATACCAGAATATAGTCAATAAACAAAGCCAAAGTCAAAAACCAGGTAGAAAACTATAAACAGGAACGCGCTCTCGGACAACCACAAGGGAAACCACGACAGGGCACTGAGCAGGCTGAGAACTGGGCCTAAATACCACTCCTTTAGTTCTGGTAGGCTGTAACCGGCCTTTGACCCCAAAGTCAGTTACCAGGTTTCATTTGCATAATTGCTGCTCAGCATTAACCCTTCTGTGGATTAGGTTGCTGCTCGGCACAACTTTTCCTGTGTGGACAGTAAATGTCATTAACCACTTTTCTATAAGCGGATGAATACGTGACATATATGAATCAGCTTAAAAGGTTTTTTAAGCTCACCTTACTCAGAGTCCACAAATCCTGGCTCTGGGATTGAGTATATGTTGCCTAATTCAGGGTTGGCAAAACTTCAAACTAATCTCTTCTGGAGCTGAGAATCACATTGGACCATAAACAATGCTGAGTGAATAAAGCAGGTTTATTTACTAAAATATAGTTAAAACAAATACATAAAACAAATATAATAAAAGCATAGAAACACTTGTAATCCAATGACAATACGCATTTCACTCGGTTGAACATCCTCAGTGTCAGTGCCTCTATGCTTTTATTATATTTGTTTTATGTATTTATTTTAACTATATTTTGGTAAATAATTATTCACTCAGCATAGTTTATGATCATTATCATTGACGTCATTAATAAAATTTAAAAAAGGCCCAATTGGAAAAAAAAATGGTAGAAAAAATAAAACCATTGCTGGCAAAGACCTTTCCCCCGCTATGACAGCCATCGCAAAGTGTGGGAAAATTTCCCACACTTTGCAATATGACCTAGAGTGCTCTGATCGGCCAATCAATCAGAGTGCTCTGAGAGCCAAGACTCACTTTTCTTGAGGCTTGTCAGACTGGTGGTTACTGCTTACTTCTGTGCCTAGCTATTGCCTCTAAAACCAAGTTTGATTCACTGATTTCGAGTTTGACAGGTCTCTGTGCTGTGTGCAGTATAGTGTTTCTTAAAATCAAAGACAATAATGTTACAGTACTTGTAAATATACGAGGCAACAACTCAAATTTTTAGCACTAAAATCTATTAGGGCTTAATAACGTTACATTACTTTACACCACAGGTTCTCAACCTGCAGAGTTTATGTGAGCCACAAGCAGGTGGTGTACCAGGAGGCTTCCAGCTGTGTGCTAAGGCAGAGTAGGCACCTGCTTACTCGAACTACAGGTGTCTACTCTTCCTGAATGTAGTGTGTCTAGAGAGAAGAATGATGGTGGTTGGCGAGGGAGCAATGATGTCTGTGCTCTTCCAGCACTGCTCCATCGTGCGTCCTGAGGTGATGTCATCACTAAACAGCGAAAAAAGGAGCAGTGCTAGAAGAGCAAAGCAGAACAGCAGACTCAATAAACCCCAGGGAAAGGAGCCCCAATGGAACCCAGGGATATGATCCACTCTAGATCTCCCAAAGGTAGGGAGGCTGGGTGTATTTAAATAAAAATAATAAAATAAATATTAATTTGTTAGTGTGTGTATGTGTCTGTCAGTGACTCTGTGACTGTGTGTCTGTCAGTGAGTGTGTGTTAAATTAGTGAGTGTGTCTGTTAGTGTGTGTGTGTCAAATCAGTGAGAGTGGGTCTGTCAGTAAGTGTGTATCAATTCACATTATGTCATATTTATGTAAAAAAATATTATTCACCGTATATACTGGAGTATGAGTCGAGTTTTTCAGCACATTTTTTGTGCTGAAAAACCCCCACTCGACTTATACTCGAGTCAATGTCTGTATTATGGCAACTTACATTGCCATAATACAGACCAGGACCACAGGGCTCATTACAAGCCCGGCGGTCCTGTTGGGGGCTGGCAGCGAGCTGTAACTTACTTTTCCTGCAGCTCCCTTCTCCTGCATTCCGGTTAGCTCCCCTGTCAGCTCCCACTGTAAGTCTTGCGAGAGCCGCGGAGTCAGAGCGTTGCCACGGTTTACCGAGGCAACACTCCGCGCGGCACTCAGACCGCGAGACCAGAACACAGGAGAAGGGAGCTGACAGGAGCTGCAGGAAAGATAAGTTAGAGCTTGCTGCCAGCCCCCCTCCTACACAGCCCATCCACTGGACCACCAGG